ACCGACAAGAACAAAACCGGGGAAGGAAACGTGGGCAAAAGCCTCGATCCTGTGTATCAACCCGTGAACCCGTGAATCCGTGAGTTCAATCCCCAGTCTGAAATTGTCTTTCTAAAGGCAAAATTGGCGCAAAGTGGTGAGGACGGGGCGCCAAATGGATGAAATGTCATCCGGAATTGCTTGGGTTCACCGGTCAGGTCTTCCGAATCCCACCTGTCGCCTTCGGGAACCTTTACTTGCATGAACTTTCCGGAAATGTCTGAAGCCACTGCTACATAGTCACTCCGGAAGCGCAAGAGAACTCCCAACGAATTCGCGGTAGTGTAGGAACCCTGATACAATCTGTCGTTCAGGGACACCCCGTAAAACTTGACCGCGTGATCTAAGACAACTCGCATCTTCTCTGGCTTCTTCGGGTTCAAAACGGGGTGATGAGGTAGAAACCACTTCCTTTCGTCCCCGGATTTAGATTGGTTAGTGGGTACAGGTACGAGGTAACCATTAATGATGTTGTCGTTCATGCGTTCTTTGTATCGCGCCAACAAAGTCAGACCGTGGCAAAACGCCTTCTCGTATATTGCCACCGAAAGTGGGCTAGACGATGATTGTCGGGAAGTCTTTGAACCGTTTTCCACGGTAATGTTACTTCGTAATGACCATCCTTGAACACTAAAGACTCTTCAACGATTCCAAGCGCTTCTTTGTCTTCGACACTTTGGCATACGCCAAGAGTCTCTAAATCGTTGAAATCAGCCTCATACAGAGCCTTTAGGTGAGCAGTGATGTCATCATCTTTCATAATTACATGGTGCACATGTTTCCAGACTCTATGTCCTATGGACAACGGACCAAGTAGAACCCAACCCAAAGGAATCTTAACAGCGTAAGGTTCCTTCTGCTTGCCCAACATTTTCTCTATAGACCAATGTGCCTCTGGAACGTCTTCTCCTATCAATATTTTCATACGCTTATCTGGAAGCTCCACGAAGGTAGTATCCTTCAAGTGATTATATTGACTAGCTATCTTCGTTGGGCTCATGACCGGTGGACTGCCGAGCAGAGAGCGTATTGCAAAGGCTTGCTCAGCGGCTACGGTATCAACTGAATCTACCGATTCAAACTCGATTCTGAGACCTGCAGCCGCCACGGTGGAGGTCCCACTCACTGTCGATAAATTCGAAGTTGTTGGAGTGCCGGTTAGACCAACCTCATCAAGCAAGTCCTTCGTAACCAATGTTACGTTCGACCCACTATCCAACAATGCGTACGTTAGAGCGTTGCCTTGCGGACCAGTCACACGAACCGGTACGACGCCAAGGCAGGTTCCTGATTCCGTCTGAGATGTCGAGTTGAACCTACCAACCAATGTGGTTTTGTTGGCATCCGGTATTACATGCAACAGATTATGGTGAGACCCCAAGCAACTCTGTATGCCACACTTCTTAGGAGAATCGCACTCGTTACTGGCATGGCCTGGTTTTAGGCATACAGAACATAACCGCTTCCTTCTCACCACAAGCCATCTTGCCTGCATCGGCAAGTCAGTGGACCTACGACATTGCACCAGTCCATGTCTTTCGTCGCAAACGGGGCACGAGTCATCGGTTCCCTTCTGAACGGCTAATATGTTATTGCGCCTTTCGCTGCCTACCCGATGATGCTGCGTTTGGGGGCGAAGATATACTGAGCTTGTGGCAACCATACCATAGCGGCCGCGAGCGATGCGGGCCTCTTGATCAACTAAGTTGCATAAGTCAGATAAACCTATCTGTTTTCCAAAGTTGTCCATAGAGTCAGCCAACCTTGCCCAGTTTCGACAAGCATCCTCCGCTAACTTGCGGAGAATGCGCTCTATGGTCGAGACCGAATTCATGTCACTTGTATGATTCATCTGAGTCAGAGCAACGTGATAGTTTTGAAGATTTACCAACAAACGAGACAGTGAATCCGCACCGTCATGCAGCGGTTACAATTTCTTAAACAGACCGTCCAGTATGGCTCTGGCCACCATATGTTCCCTCCCAAAGAGATCCCCAAGTATTTCTCTCGCTCTACCATAAGCAATCTCCGGGGCCAACATTACGCATTCAGCCAAGGCCTCCATCGCAGGACCTCTGCAGTAGTGAGTCAAATATAGCATTCTATATCCACTATCTTGCACTCCACCCTCTATGTAGTATTTGAACTGTTGAATAAATCCCCAATAGCACCTTGGGTTGCCGTCGAAAGCCTCTAAGTCCACTGTGGGTAGGTCTGCTTTAACCGCGCAAGAAGTCGGTTGGACCGCTGGTGACTCACATATGGGGGTGCTACTTACAGTCCCGGCTAGGTACTCCTTTACCTTACCCTGCGGTTCAACCTGCGCGTCAACGACGGAATCATCGTCCAAATCCAGCTCTAACTCCGCTATACGCACCTCATTATGCGGCCGCATAAGCTGAAATTCTTTCTCTATTTCCTCTGCCTTAATCTGCGCTCGTAATAACGCAGCTAACTTTAATTTTTTACGCTTAGATGAGCGAGAGCCAGGAGATGAATCAACAGCTAAGAGATTGCCAGAACGGCCGATTCGCCTCGATTCCTCTGGTAGATAGAGATCCATTGACGGGGCTTCCTCCATCTTCGAGTTCTTCAATCGTTCTTTACTGCGTCCGTGGGTAATGGAAACGTTGAGTACTGCCTCCGTAGACTCAGTTGAGTACTGTTACGGCTATCTGCTTTCTGAGGTTGAGTCACGCGTGCCAATCCAGGAAAACGACCAAGAAATCCGAATTCTGGAATCACGGTACTCGACTGATTCTTCTCTGCATATACCGACGATCAATTGCAAATCAGCCTTGGACCCAGTTGGGCCATGTGGCCATCAGCCACCGGTGGAGAGCCACAACTCAAGACTACAGTTCCTTCTGGTGCGCACCACTTGATTCCGATCACGCCATGGTGCGTGCACGCCTGAGAGTTAGCTTCCCTTCAGGCCCTCGCAAGTCAGCAAGAGGCATGCCAATCCACTGCCTTCGAAGAACTATTATAGCTCAGCAGTATCGATCTGAGATAGCCGAACAACTCTCCACAGCAAACCAATACTTTGGTGGCAGTGAGCATGTGGATGAGGCGTGGCAAAATATGGAAGCAGCTATGTTAGCGGCGTTCATTGCTATCTGTCCGACCTCTCCAATTCGACCACAAGACCACTGGATGTCGTCGAGATCGCTATCCATGACTGATGCCAGGAAAGCCACGAGTACGACGGCGCACACAAATCCCTCAAACACCAAATAGTGAAGAGTCTAAGGAAAGACGGAGAGCTCTGGTGGACATCGAAAGCTCGGGAGATGGAGAAGGCTTTGGCCACGGGGAAGAGCCGTGCTCCCTAGCAACTGATACGATCACCTGGTCCTAGGAGAGCAACGGTCAGCGAAACGATAAATGAAAAAGATGGCTCATTAATTCACTCGCAAAAACGTCAATTGAAAAGATGGACCGGACACTTAGGAGAACAGTTTAGCTGGCCTCTTGAAACCCAGTCTGTGGAGATAGTGCATGCGGACGAGTGGAGTGGATCGCTCGTCGGAAGAATAAATGAAGTACGAAATATCCGTACTGAAACGTGAGAAAGCACCAGGACTGGAGGGTCTGTATCCAGGCCTCCTCAAAGGAGGTGGAGAACCTCCGATGACCAGTCTAACAAAACTAATTGGTACGATACGGAGTGAAGAAAAAGGGCCTGCAGAATGCAGCAGGTAGACAGTTATCCTTATCTTCAAAAACGGTGCGCGGACGCTGTGAAGACCACCGTGGCATCAGCTTGTTAGCTGTGATATCCAAGTTGCTCTCTGGCCTCATCCTTCGAAGGTTGAATGAACACAGGGAGAAGCAGATATGTGAGAACCAAGTCGGGTACCGTCCTGCAAGAGGATGCATCGATCACATCTTCACCCTCTGACAAATTCCGGGACAGAGACACCGCTTCCAGAAACCAACAATGATTGCGTTCCTTGGTCTGAAAGCTATCTTTGACTCTGTGGAGCGTCAGGCACTATGGCAGTGTCTGTGGAGCAAACGTGTCCCCATAAATTCTTGACCTTCCTTAAAGCGATGTAGGCCAACTCCCGCGGCCGTGTGAAGGTCTACGGGAAGATGTCATCAGAGTTCACCACATCAGGTGGTGTCAGGCAACACTGTCCAATTTCACCTTTCCTCTTCAACGTCACCACTGATACGATTATGGAAGACCCACTGCCAGCCTCTGATGAGTGTGGGTTCGAAGTTCTCCGCTCACAGATCTAGAGTACGCAGACGACATAGCTCTTTTCGGATCTGACACTGTGGTATTGCGAACAATATTAAATAACCTAAATAATTCTGCCTCATGGTTCGGCATGCGCTTCACACCTGCAGTGCAAAGTACTACTACAAGACTGGGTAGGGCTGGATCAGTCCCGGTGATCTACTGAAAGATGATATTTCCATCCGGATTGGGAAGGCCAGAGCAGCTTTTGTGAACCTGCGTCACCAGTGGCGTAGGGGGGAAATCAGCTTCTCTATCAAGGATCGAGTTTATAATGCTGCGGTGCGCTCCATATTACTATATGGATCAGAAACCTGGCCCTGCGCGCCGTGGCAGCGAAGTATGAAAGCCATTACCAGCAAACTTAGCTACGCAGGTCACTGCCGTCTTCCTGGATGGGGATCCCGAGGTGGGCCACATCAATGGCTAGAAACATTGTCAGATCCCAGCCAGTCGCGCCCTCAATGGCGCTCGTGCACCCGAGCTATTGCCTTCAACGAATAGCTCCTTTTCCAACCCCCTCACCACTTGACAGCCCACTGACAGTGCTGGATTTGTGCACCAATTTATCAGCTCCCACATGCAATGCGCAGCTACCTACTCCTTCCCTAAACCATCAGTGAACGAAACTGCGGCAGCTACGACCACAGTACGACGAGTACGCGGTCATTACAGCTGACAATGATGATGATGATGACTTCAGCATAACAGTTCCTGGCATACCGTCAGCTCTAAATCTAAATCTAATGAATGAGGCCAGTGTCTGTTGTTCGCCGGCCCAAAGTGACTAAAAATTGCTCCAATTTTCGGAACACCAGTAGGTTTGTCCTCTCCACTTTTGCCTATCCGTCTGGGCCACGTTAAGCCCAATCGCTCTTCCGGTTCCTTGGTCTGCTCCAGGCCTCAAGAATCCTGTTTTAAGAAATAACGGTACGAACATGCTTCAAGGAGTATTTGTATTTCCCACCTCATATTCCTTCACCTGTTCCTTTGCTGTGCCATTAACAATAAAAACCTGGCTCACTCCTGAATCTTCCCAATCGAAATTGCAGCTGAAAGATGCTGAAATTGACTGCAACGCTGTGTTGTGAACGGCCCCAGAAACCACTCATTATTCGATTGTCAACTTAATTTTCAAATATTTGAAGTTTTAACTTTTTCCCCTTTTCCACCATGTCGCACCTCAATCCAAAAAACCACGCCTCTTTTTTGTTGGCCAGTTAGACTTTGTGTGCGTTAACCCCACCTACACGAACCAGACACTTTTCCCCTAATAACTTATCCCTCAGCCCAGCGTCCTCCCTTGCACAGTGTGAAGTAACTGATCCTGTCCAGCCACGCTAGATATCTTGGATCGGCTAGTGTCCTCCCTAAGATCTTCCAGGATTGCACTCCCGAACTCTTCGTATTATATTCTGTTCTCTTTTCTCACCGGCAAACTTCTTCCCTCTCATAAGCGAGCGATTACGCGCGATTACGCGAGTAGAGGTAGGAACCCAGCAGGAAAAAAGACTGGTCACTGATCACTACATTCCTTTGCCCTCTTTGACTGCTTGCTACAATCCCTTTAGCATGGTTTCCACCATACCTACTCAGGTTTCACTAGAAGCCACTATTTCGCCCGATCTCGACCGCCACCGAAAACGGACAAATGATACACACCTACTTCTACAGTTCCGCCCAGAAAGCTGGGATCTTGTCTGGGTTCTCTGGCTGAAGGATGATTGAAGCACACTGGAAGCGCCTCGTGGACTAACACGAAGCCACCACGCTCCTTCGGTAAAAAATTCCACCCAAAACAATTTTCTCTCCCCAACTTGCCTTTCGATGACGCTGTTGGCTCGTGGGGTCTTACCGGCTCAAACGCCTCCCCAGTGCAACCTGAGGAACGTTTCTGAAAGCTCTCGCAAAAGTGCCCAACGATCCGTCAGGAATACAAGCGCTTTCTCCATTGTTTTACATCACTGTCATGCCGAGATTTCTTCATATCCGTTTTATTCTTTTTCCACGTTGTCCATATCCTGCCTGATAGCCTCTATTCTGGGTTGAACGGCCTTTTTACGTATTCCTTTATTAAACACCTAATTCATTCCATGTTTTGCTATCACTTTCAGCAGTATTTAGACTATTTGTGTACTCCGGGGATAAAATTCGTACCCACTACTTAGATACCATTGATTTACACTTCCAACTCACGATAATGTGCTAATCGCCTTAGTGCGGCAAAAGCTGTATGAGTAACAACATATTTGGTAACGCCGACGGCTGTCGTAGCATTAACGGCATTAATGAGTCGCCATTACACAGGGCGAAGTATTAATGCAACTAAGATATAGTGTCTAAAGGAGAATAATCCCAAGAAATCTCAGACCACGTTTCACAAGAGGTATTTCCGCTGAACCACCACATTCAGACGAGAGGCCTTTACTTTCCTGGTATTTGTAGTGGCCTGGCTAGCCAAAAAATTACCTCATCAGGAGGGGGTGGCAAATAAATAAAAATAATAACGCTAGTTTGTGGATACAACAATCAAACGGTCAGGTGGAACAGATTCACTAAAAATTGTTCCCTTCAAAAATGTCCGTCATTGGCCCAGCGGCTAAAAATTAATCCAATCAGGGTTATCCAGGACTCTTCTTATGAACAGTTCTCACGTTTGGATTCCGAAGATAGTCTGAACTAATGTGATTCCATTTAGCACATGAGATTCGTGAATGATAGCTGCAAGCGCGAGGAAAATGAGAAGAAAGACAGTCAAAGCACGTGAACACGGTTGTCCTACGTGAAGTTGTGCGAGTGCTCTATTTTAGTCTCTCTTCTTCAAACAAAAACGGTTACAATTGATAAAATACGTCATGTTACAGGTAAAGCAGAAGGAAGATACAAAACACCACATATTCCAAACCTTTGATAATCTACTGAAATCCACCGTATGAATGAATACACCCAGTGTCGGCAGCTAACTTTTTGTTCACGTTGAGAATTAGTGATAGCCAACGTTAATCGACAGAGTCAAAACAAGATGCACTGAGGAAAAGACGCAAAGTCACACCAAGCTTAAGAGGAACGGGCCTGCTGGGTAATTTATTGAAACACTGTACAATAATGTGGCCAACAGGTACAGAGAGAAAATAGTTCATACTGAAAAGGATGAACAACAGCCTACAAGTACTGCACTTCCCTCCTTTCACCTAATGTACCCACAGAGAAAACCAGTTGCTCGCTAACTTCTGGCTACTTCCACATCATCTGAACTAGATCCATTCACCTCGTTATATATACATATATATCTTGTGGAAAATCCCTCGGTGCGGGCACAGTATTCGCACAATGGAATTGAAAATTCCAAAGGTATGACTTGTCCATGATGGATTAAAGCGATCGGGAAATCGAGTTCAGAGATCCAGTCAAAATTTGGAGCTCCATCTAGGCATACCTGGGTCTCGGTGATGCTGAGAAATGATTTCACGAGACTTTTCCGCCAGAGGTGTGATAGTTTCAGTGGACAGTGAACTCAGGTGAGCCTGTAGTGTCTGTAATCCGTTGTCACATTTATCATTCTTCCTGAACTTGAACCACACTTTGTAATTGTCGTTCACATTGTCTCATGACGTTTGTTTTAATGTCATGAATACACAATTTTCCGGTGCGACCTGCTGACTTCTTGCTGAACGAGTGCATTTACGCTCCATTGAACTGTTTGTTAACTGCTGAACCAGTGGGACTAAATCTCTGTGAACGTCACAATAAATCCTTGTGACATTTTTTAGCCGTGAATAATTTTCCTACCGTGGAATATATCACGCACGCGGAACCATCTGTGGGAAACTTCGACAAGTGAATATTTCCTTTCACAGCCAATTACCGCATTTGGATTGGTGTAGTGGACTACTGGATCTACACATTCGTGAGTCCCCATTTGATTACTCATTCCTTTCCTATTGTGATTTTGTGATTTCGTATTGCTTACTTTTGCTTGTTAATTTACCCAAACACGCTGATAAGGTCCTTTTCCGCTACAAGCCTCAAAATTGTCAGTGTATATTAGGATGGTTTTTGGTTTGAGCACATGTGCGACCAAATGCAACCTTTCAGTCTAAAAATCTTCGCTCCACCCGTAAAGGTTTTGCAGCTCAGAGCACTGTGCAGCTAATGGCTGCCGCCGTCCCTGCATCGAATGCATCACGTGTTTAACGATGGACCAATCAAAAGTCAGAGTTCTTCCGAGTTCACTGCCAAGGTGGTTCGGGGAAATCTTCGAATGTGTAGGACGGAATGTTGGGACGGACGCCGCACGGCAGCTGATGGGTGAAGAAAACGGAATCTCGTGGAGTAGTGTGCTGACGTATCTATCAGTGCACAGAGCTGCACGATTAGGGAGCAACGCGAGTGTTGTAGACATAAATAAGCCACAAAAATAAAAAACCGAAAAGTTGTGGTAATAGTGACATTCATAAGCGATACCTAAAGTGCGATCCGGAGGTGACCTATAACTGTACAGTCGTAAGTGAAGTATTTGCTGTGTGGGTACAGTTTGTATGAGAAAAAGAACATGAAATTCTTTGTGAGGTTGGGGTGATAGCATCAACCGAAGGATGCAATGTTCGTAATCTCCCAAAAACAGCAAGTGTCCTGCTACACTGTTTATACGCTCAACATCGATTCTGATGTTCCAATTATTTGAAATGGGGAAGACCCAGTTCCGACAAACACGTCGATGTATTTAGCGCAAATCATACTCAGTAAAGCTGTGGTTTGGGCTGTGGCTAAACCAGCCGGGTGGACCACTGCTTAAAGCTCCAAACAAAAAGGCTTAATCAGGAAGCGATGCAGCAAGAAAGACGCAAAGGACCGTTGTATTAACGCCGTTTGAAGGTGAACATCCGTGCTTATCTGAACAAGGCTGGTACCCGTCGATGGAACTTGTTTATGTTGAGGGAAACCCACAGCAAAACGTTTGAGTGCCTACTTGGGTATGAGTAGGAAGCACGCACAACTGTGCGTTCAGGCGCAATACGGAGTTTGAATTACTCCCAGATTCAGGAGAAGGTAAATGAAGAGTGCGGTTGGTGAAAATAATGTAGTATGCACGTTGTGGAAAGTGGTTTTCCAAAGTCAGGCGTTCACGGCTGTTTCTGTGGAAGAAAAACAAAGAAAGCTCATAAGCCGAAGTCCAGTAAACAGGGTTGCACATCGCGAATACTTATAATTACAAATAAATCAAAATAACAGGCACTATGTACTACGCAACTGACTTCCACGGTGACCTTAGTCGACTTATGCGACCTCGTCGAAGAATCAGTCCATTAATGTGTATAGTATCTGCCACTGTTGTTGGACTATACGGGGGCTAATGCCACGTCTAGGTGCGACCAAGTGTGACACTCAGTTCTGACTAAGAACAAAATCCGTAACCACAGAAACTGACCCGCCCTTTAACCCGCCGACGCCTGCGTCGCGCCTAAGGAAGAAACAGAGCGAAAATGATAAATTCTATTGTGGGATTAGGAAAAAGAGGCTAGGGCGGACGTTCATCATACCGTGGTGGGTAAAAACACAGTTAAGCAGGTCTTTCACTTTAGTGTTTTCCAGCCCATAATCGTCCACCGAATTGCATTGGTTCCGTCTGCTATGGCTTCGATGGCCGAGGATAAGAACAGTAAGGGGATGCGAACCACGCGTTGAAGCCGACTGTCCATTCAGTACATTGATGGCAAATAGTAAATAATAGTCGTTCAGCTGTAATAACCTTTTGGTGCCTAGCTGCCATGCCACCCGTCCGACGCTAGTGTATTCTTGTGTGAATGTGTCAACTGACCAGCTTACTTGTGCGTGTTTCCGCCTCGTCTGCTGAGCCTACCATGACCCGTTGCGTCATGATTTCCGCCAATTCGAATCGCGAGACTATCCTCGGAAAGGACTACCGCAACACACTACCGAGCCCTTTCGCTGTTGTCTGGTGTGCAGACCTTGGCACTCCACTGTGCCGGTCAATGATAGACTTGCTCACTTGCTGACGCCACGAACGTGCACTTTTGTGTAACTAGTACCCTAGACCTTCGAATCCTGTTCTCCGTCAAACCTACGCGTGACTGGAAGCTCCTTATCGGGAACCTTAACACGCAGCGAGAACAATGCCTTTTATGCAGATGCACCATTGGCTGCATGATAAAGCCATATTTGTCATTTTTTGATCCTGCGGTCCCCACCCGTACAAACGGTAATCGCCAACACGAGTCAGTTGACTGCTAAGGACTTCCATGCTTCGTTGTCAACTCAGACTGACTGTCCCTGAGTCGTCTCCATCCTACACGAAGCTGGCCGAAGAGAGCTCTACGAGACCAACGGTCCTCTGGATACGAAGTACTTGGCATGACCGATTGTTTCTTCAGAATGTACAGTCTCTGGACACACCTCTTACAATTCAAGGAAAACCACAGCAGGTAGTTGTATTAGATCCGACGGGATTGTGTCTGATTAGGTCACCACACGAACCTCAAAGACCCGGATCATATCTGCTAAGTTGCATGACCTGTGGCGCCAAAAAGGTATGTCACTGAGTCTCAAAAGTCGCAGTCAGGACTGTATTGTTGTGTGGCTGAGAGACGTAGCCTTTGCACATACATGATGTGAGGCGTCTTCAGGCCTCCGGGACCTATGCAGCTGCCCAGATAAATTAACGGTGTGTTCACTGCAGGCATAAGGTTGGAGTTTGATTCGACCCGTTCGTGCGGCCGCGCTTTACACTTTACAGGTGCAATGCGCCTACCAAACTGCGCAGCAAAATCATTTCGGTTATTTAAAATAGTTTACGCTTCTCGAGGGTCTCATTCAAGAATGGCAATATCGTCAATGTGCTCAATATCCGTGAGTGAACTCCCCAGGGTTATTTCGTTTCCCTTGATGTCAGAGGTAGTTAAATAAGATTAAAGCAGCAAGTCGACCACGAAGTTAACAAGATATAGGGCATGCTTGCATGATCACTAGATGTGGTGAACTCGGCAGAGAATGTGCGGT